TGATGGACGACTCCTTCGTGGAGCTGCTGGAGGAGATCTTGGCACACGCGCCCCTGGCTGCTGGTGCCCCCGGGCCAGCCGGTCCCGGGGAGGCGAGGACCCAGGTGGTGGTGGTCGGAGCCACCTTCCCCACGGGGCTGAGCCAGACGCTGGGGAAGTTCACCGACGTGGGCCGGTTTGTCACCATCACCACCCAGAGCCTGCACCGCCTGCCATCCCACGTCCAGCAGAAGTTTGTCCGCTTAAAAGGCCGGGACAAGCTGCTCGAACTGCTGCAGTTACTCAAGGAGCACCCAGCATCCGGCGGCGCTGTTCTCGTCTTCTGCAACAGTGCCAGCACTGTCAACTGGCTGGGCTATATCCTGGATGATCACAAAATCAAGCACCTGAGGTTGCAGGGACAGATGTCAGCAGCTGCTAGAGCTGGCATCTTTGCCTCCTTCCAGAAGGGCGATGTGTCTGTCCTTGTCTGCACTGACCTTGCCTCGCGGGGGCTGGACACCAGCAGTGTGCAGCTAGTGGTCAACTATGACTTCCCAGACACCCTACAGGACTACCTGCACCGCGTGGGGCGGGTTGGACGAGTCGGAAGCAAGGCGCCTGGAGCCGTGGTGAGTTTTGTCACCCATCGGTGGGACGTGGACCTGGTGCGGAAAATAGAGACTGCAGCCCGGAAAAGAACAGGTCTCCCAGGCATGGACTCCTCTATTACTGAACGTCGACCTAAAGGAGGTTGATTGAAGTTGCCAAGTAGCCATAAATGCCCTAGTAGGGACTGAGATTGAAGTCATTATGGCAGACTGAATGGGCTTATATGTGTGAGCTGGACTGAAGGAATAGAGAATTGAGTTTCAGAACTAGGTGATGAGGTTAACTTTATGCGCTGTTCCCGAAGCCGCAATAGTCATTTGCATAGGCATCACAACTCGTGGCTCTCCAAAAGGAAGCTAGTAAGTGAGTTAAGGAAATGGCTTTGGAGAAAACTGAAGAATGATCACATCAGTTTGTTTCGTTTAATTTTGTTGAGACTCTTAAATTAAAATCAGAATGAAAGTGTGCCTGTATGATGTGTGGCTCTGTTGTGTTTCGTTGCTTACTATCACCAGTAGCTAAACATTCGTTACTAAAACTTAAAAATTACTACAGTGGCAGCGCAAAAAAATAAAATATATTCCTATCTTTGTTATAAATTGAACCAATTGTAGCTACATGCAGAAGGACTAAAGGACAAATTATATTTTGTTTTCTTGTGATGTAGCAGTTCATTGAGAGAATTCTAGACCAGATACCTCTAAAGTTTGATGGGAACAAAAAGGCACAATAAAGCTTGAGGCTTTTTCAAGGCCTTAATTTGTCGTTTTATGGTTGACTTTCATTGAGAAAAGGGGGATCTTGCTGCTTCATATTCCGTTAAAAAAAAAGCCTTTAAGTATTTTCTGCTCATTTTTTTCCTGCATACTGTAGTGACATGTCTAGTCTGAAATAGTTTTAAAAACAAACAAACAAACAAAACCCAACCCACCAAAAAATATCCCCTGTTCAAGGAAAGAAGTGTGTTGACTCAGGGTCTAATGACTCCCAGGTTACAGAGTGCAAGATTTCTTTTGAATATCATGCCGTGGTTCTTTTCTGCTTTAAACCAAAAGGATTAAAGTGAGGCTGAGGGTATTTCATAGCTAGCTGCTAGTTTGCATCCATTGTAAATAATCACACAAAAATAGCATTTTAGCTCTGTTTTCTACTGCAGTGATTTATAACACCGTATTCCTTTAATGGTTGTTTTTCCCATGCTGTCTACTTTAGCCTGTGCTAAAACTCAGTATGTGGAAATAGTAAGCTGTTAAATGAAAAGATCACAGCATAATATCTAAATCATTGGCTTCAAAGGAAATAAGGCACTGGAGCTACTCTTAGTATACTTAGAGTAAAAACTAAACAGAAAACTTGCACAGATAATCACTCTAGGATAAGGCTATTTAACTTTATCCTAGAAATTGTAAACATATATGCTTTTCACATTGCACAGTTAAGGGACTCTTAGGGAAAGTTACAAGCTTTGGTAAAATTATTTAATACAATATAAAGCTTTCAATTTTATAGAAATACATTGGAAGAGTGATCCACTTGGAAACTGCCAACCTCTATATTTTGGACCCATTCATTGCATGGGCTACTTGCCTCTCATCTGTAGTTCATTTAGCTGCAAATCAGGCAATTTATGTGTCCACAAACAGAAGCTTGCTGTTTGTGTATAGGAGTAGGGTAAATCCTTAAACAGAAGCCTAGGGATGATCTTTGTTAAGGTGCATCTTACGTTGTATCAGATCCTCTGAACTGCTGAAAAATAGCTTCCTTTTACTGTAGACATACAGATTAAATTAAATGAAGTAAATTGTATTCAAGAAACTCCAAGTAAGAAATTTTAATATTTTCTTCCCTGCTTTGCCTAAGAAATTTCAGACTGACTCCATCTCAAGTGTCATATAATTTGCTCTTTTTAAAAGCTGTAGCACTTCCCTGTATTAGCATAAACATTGAGTTACTACCAGCTTCATAGAGTATCTTTCTTTCCCGAGGCAGCTGGTGATGGTGACCATGCTTCCCAGTTCAGCATACAGAGTTGCCCTTTTAAGTTTCTGAGCAAAATTGTTACTTGGAATCTCAGATGTCCAACTTCAAGTATTTGTCTTCTCATATAGCTGTTATATAGAATTAAATCTGTTTTTCAGGCTAAAATTTCATAACTGTTGCAGATGTGTACTGTAATACTTTGTTACCTATAGTTTCCAGCTAAATAATGCAACCAAAGTTAACCAAAGTTAAATGAAGTCACATAAACAATAACTTGTGACACAAGATCCATGGTCAAACTATGTGTCAATGGTCATTCATAATTAATGCGCATAAACAATAACTTGTGACACAAGATCCATGTGTCAATGGTCATTCATAATTAATGCATCCACTTAATTTGTATCAATAACTAAGTGGCGCTGGTGGTCAGACAGTAGTTTTTTTCTTGAGTTAAAATATGTGGAAGGAAAATGGGAGGAAAGTTGACTTCTGATAAATTTAACCAGATGATAAAAGGCAATGTGGGCATATTTGACAATGGGGTATAAAATATATATGTTAAAACTGAATGATTGGTGTTATTACACGTTTCAGAAATTAATTGCATGTGTTCTGATGGCCATTAACAAAAGATCTTGAAGATGTTCTGCGAGGTTATATTTGGATATTTTTGTTGTGTTTTTTAGATGTATAGTTTGTAGTTTCACTTCTGTGACTCACTTTTAAAAACTCAGTTAATGTAGTCTATGAATCTGGAATTAAAATAGAATTCTGTGATTCTGTATTAAATGGCCGCAGTGATGAAGTAAGCCTGTGGTATGACTGAGTTTGCCTTCCTCTGTCAGTAGTGAAGGCAACACTGATGGCTGCCAGGTGGGCAAATTGTGACAATATGAAAAGGGACGCTAAAAACCAACCCTCCTCCTTGGAAAATGAGAATTGTCTGGTTTGGGCTGAAGCAAATAACTATAGGCAATGGAGACAGTGCTTATAAAACTTAAAACAATACAGAGGCTGCAACAGTCATGCTAACTATGTTACATGGAAGAGTGGAAATAATCTTTCCTAACATTTGAAGGCTGAGGAACATTAAAGCTATTGAAAATAACTGCAGGGGAAAACAGTCTGGCTACAAGGAAACAGGCCACCGAGAGGAGTAACGAAGACTGATTCCATGTGTTTCTGAGGAGAAAGATTTTTCCAGTAGCTTCCCTCTTAGAGGAGAAACCAAGAAAACCAATGCGTAGAGGATTATTTTTAAATATGCAGTGCTCTTTGTTTAGAAATATTCCCAGCTAGACGATTACCTGAGGGAGGCTCGCTGTGCCCGCGGGATCCCAGCCCTGCAGCGGGGCTCTCCAGTTCGGCTGGCCAGCTGCTGCCACAAGCTTGATCTGAGGTAAAATTTTCCTGAAAACAGTGTTCTTTGAAGTTGTGATCCAAAATGAAGGTTAAAGTGAGGTGAGCAACTGACTGCAGCTGAGGTAGCCCCACAGCTGTGGCTGGAGAAGAGGGATGAGGGCTGAGGTGGTGCCTTGGGAGGGCTGAGGAAGATGGCGGAGCAGCATGAGGAGGGTGGCTGTGTGTTGCCGGGGCGGGAAGGGTGCAGGAAGATCAAGCCTTGACTAAAGGTAGGTGGTATGAGCTGCTTGAGCTCTTTTGGTGTGAATTTCAGCAGGCTGTTTCTTTGGGTTTTGTTCCTTTTGTCGAGGGGAATTTGTAGCTTGGGGAGAGGGGCTCAGGCCGTGAGGAACCTGTGTGGCGAGAGGGCTGAAGGCACAGACGGAGGTGCCTGCGTTTTGAGGATGTGAGTCCGGGCTGTCTCTGTTCTGAAGCAAAAATCCTCACCAACGTAGGCAAAGTCCCTTGCCCTGTAAATATTGGTGTGAACTTAATGCTCAGGGGACCTGCAGGATGCGTACCAAGAAATAACTTGGTCTTCACTGAAAAGGTCTTTGTCCTCTTGAACAAAAAGCTCCTCAACCTGGTATAGTTAAGGGGGTGTGTTACAACAAAAGCACTCTTTTTATTTATTTTTTATTTTACTTTCCTGGAAATCTTTGAAGAAGATCAATAATGACTTTTATTTACTGTAAGCTGCAGTAAGTAAAATTAAACTCTAAGTCGCTTCAGCTTCGTTTCTGTAAGACCCTGAGGCCTGTGGGAGCAGAACCTCATTTTTCAAGTTTAAGGTGGCTGAGGATGTTGCTTTTCTCTCACTTTCTGCTTCTGGCACACTCAGTAAATACATGACAAGGCTCAGAGGTTACTGACTTGGGGCCCCTGAGAGCCTTTCCTAATGTTTTTGCAGGGCTAATTCCACCTGACCTCAGGAGTTTTCAAAAATACTAATGGAAGGTGAGTGTTTTTGGGGTACAATGTTTTGGGGTACACCTGCCAATAATGCACAGCAGGTGACTTCCCTCCTCTCCCCTTAGCTGATTCTCAGCAAAATGTGTGCTTTTCAACTTCAGTGTTTCTCATTTGTATTTTGTCATTTTCATAAATATAGCAATTTTCAAATATGCAGATGATCTCCTTCCCCTGAGGAGAGTTGTTGTACAAGTAGCAGGAAAGCAATGGAGAAAAATTAAAACTTAGACTTTATTTTAGCTTAACATTTGCAGCCTTACTAGTCTAGATCAATGCTGCTGTCAATAATTCCCTTGCATGATTTCAAGTGAATAGCATGTAATTACTTTTCTAGAAGAGGAAAATTTTATACTGAACAAAACCTCAATTTAATCAGTGGTTTTAATGGCTACATCTAGTAGTTGTTTTGTCTCCTAGAGAAGACTTGCAGAATTTCATATCTTGTTTTAAAGTGCTCTGTCACTATACTTGTTATGCTAAAACGTATAACTAGAAGTTACAAAGATTCAGGCTTATGTATATTTAGCACCAAAACACCTAAGCTGGAATGATCTTCTAGGAGAAGGGAACTCTTTGTCTCAGACCCCGCAAAATGCAGCAACTACAACAAACCTCTGTAAGTTCTCTGAGCTTTCTGCAGCGCTGCACAGTTGGCATGACTTGCCAAATTAAGCACATCTCCCAGGCAGTATTTCAGTGGTGACTCAGGTGGCTGGGTGCAGCTGGGCTCAGGAAGATTTTTTGGATTCTTCTTAAACTAAGAGGGTGTTTCTCTATTTTCCATACAGTG